AAAAAAACGGAAAAATGGATAAAGTGAGAAACCGAAATAAGGGCAAAATAAGACATCGAAAAATTATAAATTGAAAAACTCATAAATCGAGAAACTCAATAAATCGGGAAATCAAAACATTGAAAAATCGAAAAATTTTAAAAATGAAAAATTAAAATATCAAAGAATCGAACAATCTAAAGATTAAAAACTCGAAAACGAACTAAAAAGTTGACACATTGAAAAATCCAGAAGTCAAAAATCGAAAAGTCGAAGAATCGAAATATTGAAAAGTCACAAAACTGAAATATCGAAAAACTGACAAATCTCAGAAGTAGAATGTCCAAAAACCGAGAATTCCAAAAAATTTAAAAATTGAGAAATCGAAAAATCAAAAAAATAAAGTCGAAAAATAGAAACCCTAAAAAAATCGAAAAATTGAAAAGTCAAAAACTTGGCAAATCGAAAAATTGAAGAACTGAGGAACAGGAAAATCTAAACAGTCAAAAGTCAAGAAATGAAAAAATCAAAACATCGGTTAATTGAAAAATTGAAAAATTGAGAATTTAGAAAAGTCAAAAATTGAAAAATTGAAAAATTGCAAAATTTAAACATCGTAAAATTGAAGAGAAAAATTGAAAAAACGTAAACCTGAAACATCGGAAAATTGAGAAATCGAAAAATTGAAATTCAAGAAGTTGAAAAATTGAAAAATTGAATAATTGTAATAAATTATAATCTCAAAAATCCTAAAACTGAAATTTCGAAACATCGAAAAATGAAAGAAAAACTGATGAATGGAAAAACTGAAAAATCTCAAAAGTGAAATATCTAAAAACTGAGAAATTAAAAAATTGAAAAATTGAGAAGTGCAAAATTAAAAAATCAAATAATTGTAATAAATTATATACTCAAAAATCCAAAAACTGAAATTTCGAAACATTGAAAAATGAAAGAAAAGCTACAGAATGGAAAAACTGAGAAATCTTAAAATTGAAATATCTAAAAACTGAGAAAACAAAAAAATTGATAAATTGAGAAATTAAAAAGTCAAAAAAGTGAAGTCGAAAATCAATATTTAAAAATCGTAAACTAGAAGAGGGGAAAAATTGAAAACCGTAAAGTTGAAAAATTGAGAAATTGTAAAATCGAAAAATTGAGTAATAAATAAACTGAAAAATCCTAAAACTCAAATTTCGAAAAATTGAAAAATCGAAGAAAAACTGAAAAATCCCAAAACTAAAATATCCAAAAACTGAGAATCTCAAAACTGAAGAATTGAGAAACCGAAAAATCAAAAAAGTCAAGTAGAAACCTTAAAATATCGAAAAACTGAAAAAGTCACGTAGAAACCTTAAAATATCGAAAAACTGAAGAGAAAAATTGAAAAAACGTAAAACTGAAACATCGGAAAATGGAGAAATCGAACAATTGAAAATCAAGAAGTTGAAAAATTGAATAATTGTAATAAGCTAATAAATAATGTGAAAAATCCCAAAACTGAAATTTCGAAACATTGAAAAATGAAAGAAAAGCTACAGAATGGAAAAACTGAGAAATCTTAAAACTGAAATATCTAAAAACTGAGAAAACAAAAAAATTGATAAATTGAGAAATTAAAAAGTCAAAAAAGTGAAGTCGAAAATCAAAACTTTAAAAATTGAAAACTGAAAAAACGAAAAACTAAAAGTAAAATTTGAAAAATTGCAAAAACCAAATATTTAAAAATCGTAAACTAGAAGAGGGGAAAATTTGAAAATCGTGATGTTGAAAAACTGAGAAATTGTAAAATCGAAAAATTGAGTAATAAATAATAAAACTCAAATTTCGAAAAATTGAAAAATCGAAGAAAAACTGAAAAATCCCAAAACTAAAATATCCAAAAACTGAGAATCTCAAAACTGAAGAATTGAGAAATTGAAAAATCAAAAAAGTCAAGTAGAAACTTTAAAATATCGAAAAACTGAAAAATCAAAAACCTGACAAACCGAAAAATTGAAGAATTGAAGAACAGGAAAATCTAAACAATCAAAAGACAAGAAATGGGAAAATCAAAAAAACGAAAAATTGAGAATTTAGAAAAGTAAAAAATTAAAAAATCGCAATATTTAAAACTCGTAAAATTGAAGAGAAAAATTGAGAAATCGAGAAATTGAAAAATTGAGAAATTGTAAAATCGAAAAATTGAATAATAAATAATTTGAAAAATCCCAAAACTGAAATTTCAAAAAATTGAAAATGAAAGAAAAACTGGAGAATGGAGAAACTGAAAAATCTCAAAACTGAAATATCTAAAAACTGAGAAGTTAAAAATTGATAAATCAAAAAGTCAAAAATGTAAAGTCGAAAAATTAAAACTTAAAAAATTGAAAACTGAAAAAACGAAAAACTAAAAGTAAAATTTGAAAAATTGCAAAAACCAAATATTTAAAAATCGCGAAATTGAAGAGGAGAAAAACTGAAAATCGTGAAATTGAAAAATTAAGAAATTGTAAAATCGAAAAATTGAATAATAAACTGAAAAATAAATTGAAAACGAAAATATCGAAAAATTGAATAATTGAAGAACTGAAAAATCAAAATAGTCGAAATTTACGAAATGGGAAAATCAAAATATCGATTTATTGAAAAAGCAAAAAATTGAAAATCCAAAAAGTAAAAAGTCGAGAAATCGAAAAACTCAAAACCCGAAAAATCGAAAAGTCAAAATACTAACAAATCCCAAAACTCAAATATCGAAAAATTGAAAAATAGGAGATAAATTGAAGAATCGAAAAACTAAAAATTGAGAAAATAAAAAATTGAAAAGTCAAAACAGCAAAGTCGAAAAACCACCAACTTAAAAAATAAAAAACCTGAAAAATCGAAAAATTCAAAAATTGAAAGATCGAATCTTTGGGAAGTCGAGAAATGGAAAAATCTAAAAATAGAATAATAGGGAAGTTGGAAAACTGAACATTCCGAAACGTCAAAATTTTGAAAAATTAAAAAATATTGAAGAACTGAAAAATCGAAAAATCTGAAACTTAAAACATTAAAAAATTAAAATATCGTAAAATTGGAACATCAAAAAATTAAAATTCAAAAATCTAAAATTTAAAAATCCAAAACTGAAAAATCAACAAGTTGAGAAATCGAAACTCGAAAATTTTAAAAATTGGAAAATTGGAAAATCGGACAATTCAAAAACTGAGACACCGAGGAGTCGGAAACTTGAGAAGTTGAAAAATCGAAAAATTGAGAAACAGAAATAGGCCAAAATCGGAAAATCGAAAAGTTGAAACTGAAAAAATTGATAAATCGAGAGACTGAGCAATCAAAACATCGAAACATCCGAATCTCGGTAAATCGCGGTCTCAAAAAATTCAAAAACCGAAAATTTAAAAACATAGAAGAACTGAAACCTCGAGAAATCGAAGACTCTAGAATTTTAAAAATCAAAAATAAAAATATGGAAAAAATAATAAACCGAAATATAAAACAGTCGAAAAATTTAAAAATCTAAAATTTAAGAAACAAAAAACTCAAAACCCAAAAAATAAAAAGTCCAAAAAATGAAATAATGATAAATCCCAAAACTGAAAGAAATATCCACAAATTGAAAATTCCAAAAATTTTAAAATTGGAAAATCGAAAAACCAAAAAAACAAAATCGAAAATTCAAAGAACTGAAGGACTGAAAAATCGAAACTTTGAGAGGCCGAGAAGTGGGAAAATCCAAAATAAATTAATTGAGAAATCGAAAAACTAAAAATTTAGCAACGTCAAAATTTTAAAAATTGAAAAATAGAAATACTGAAGAACTGAAAATCAAAAAATCTAAAATTTAAAACATCGAACAATTAAAATATCGCAAAATTAAAAAATCAAAAAATCCAAACAACAAAAAAACAAAAATTAAAAATGTTGTTTTCTTTGTACATAACACGATTACATAAGAACATATTTTACGTGGTAATTTCTTGTAGAAAAATAAGCTCCGCCCCCCGGCTTACGACGAATAAAAAAAATCATCAGAATTGAGATAGGGTGGGTGGGCGGGGCTCGAGAAAACTCGAGAAATTGAAAAACCTAGGATTTTAAAAATTGAAAAATTATAACATCGAGAAGTTGAAAAATTGACAAATCGAAGTATACAACAGTCGAAAATTGAAAAATCTAAAGTTTAACGAATAATCGCAATACTGAAATATCCAAAAAATTGAGAAATTAAAAAATTGGAAAATTGAGAAATCGAAAAAATAAAAAATCAAACTCGAAAAATCGAAAAGCCAAAGAACTAGAAAAATCGAAGGAAGTCGAGAAATGAGAAAATAAAAAAAGATTAGCTCAGAATTCGGAAAACTAAAAATTTAGAAACGTGAAAATTTGAAGAACTTAAAAATCGAATTGTATAAAAAAATAAAAATCGTAAAATTGAAGAGGACAAGAACTGAGAAATGGTATCATTGAAACAGCGGAAAATGAGATGCCAAATCTATTACATTCAACTTGTATCCCTAAAGAGACAAAAACTTTCACTGAATAGATAAACATCCGAAGTAAGAAGCAAAAATCGTGCCAGATTTTCCCGGGCTGCAAAATTAATGCATTCGGATTCACCTGACCCCGCCAAACCCAAAAGAAATAAGACACGTGTAATTTTGAAAGTTTGCAACCAAAGTAATCTCTGGGCAGTAATAACAATATAATCTAGTTTTAAAAGTATTCCTGGTTCGTTAACTTGAAACTCTTGAGTGATACTTCGCGTCTTTACAACGTAAAACAACGTTTAAAACTTTTCCCCGCACAGACGACCTATTGCTTTAAAACTGCACACCACATTAAGCGACGAAATCATCGCAAACAATTCAAAAATCCCGTTTTTCATTCAGACCCCGAACTCCGCCTAATGAATATTAAAGAATTTTAATTCGGACGCCGTTTTTTCATCTCTCGAGACAGATCTTAATACAGCGTCTAAATAATTAAAACACGATCCTGCAATAAATCAGAATTTTTAACAAAATTTTCTTTTCCAGAGGCGAATCAATTACCGTTCTTGTGCTGGAAGTAACATGGGTGGTAACGCTGTTCTTACAGCTCTGCGTGAGGTAAGAAAAAGCATTTTAATTAAGTGTTTCTCTTTCCGTAGAAATGTTAAACGCAGTGGGATTCCGCGCTTTATGAAGATAAACGCCTAAATTAAATTTCGTCGGGACGTAACTAGTGGACAAAATTTAAAATTTAGGTTGCATGCACTTTTTCGTTTTTCGTCTGCTTTGTAAGTGAACTTTCAAAGGATGTCAAATATTCTGTTTTCGGAACAAATTACAAAGAAACGTTTTAATCAATTCCCGCACAAAGGAGGGCGAAATTCAAGTTAAAGTTTGCGCTGACAACACGAAACCGTAAAAATTTAAACACAGCGGAGGCTAAATTCGCCAAAACCGACTAGTTTTGGTGAAAAAAAACAGAATCCAATTTATTCTTGTTTGATTAAATTTCGTTAAAAATGTGTTTCAATTACTTAACAACAAACATACGCACCCTCATTTCATTTTCATTACAAACATTTATAGAATATATGATTACATACTCGTAGTCATTTTATCCTTTGCTCCTCTACCTGTACCGCCCCGCTTTGAATAAATTATATTTCCCACGTATTATATCACATCTGTTTGATGTTATTAGTATGCAAACAAGACAAAGTCATTTATTAAAGCTGAAATATAAACAAACTATTACGCCCCTTTCATCACACGATCTGAATACACAAACGAATTTTCGCCTGGACCTAATTTAATATTACAAAAATTAATTAAAATTCAATTTGGAAAAAGTCGATAGAGCGGAAATACGCCCAAAAGCAGATTTTCGCCGGTTCAATTTAAGTTGATATCGAGCATTTTCGACTGCGTGAAATCTATTCCACTCGAATATGACTTCCAACTTCAGACGGGAATCTGAATTAAAATACAATTTCATTCGTGGAGACGCTTTTTCGATGGATTTAATTTATTGAATTCGGGTTTCCACGCGGATTATCTGTTAATTAGGTGGGTGTTAGAGTGCATTGTGGAAAAGCGGGGGCTTGGATTTAATTAATACTGAATAGTTGGAATAATTTTGAATTGGTGGAATTCTTCAACATTTAGGCAAAGCTTTGTAAAATCTGTCAGTGTATAACAAGGTTTATTTTAATTTGAAATAGCTTAATAGTCTATCAAACACCGAGAACAAAACGCTGCATAATGCATAGTGTTATTGGTGAGCCGTCATTATCCGGTAGATGTCAGTTTAACTAAATGCACTTGACACTACAAAGCTTATAATAGAGAGCTTATTATTGCATGATGAACATAAATGCATAGTTGACCTAGAATTAGTTATGCAAGACAAGCTTTAAGTGGAAATTTTCATGCAAGAAATTCTTGTTTTATTTAAAATTTTGTCTACAAAAACAAAAACTTAAAAATTGAAGAGAAGAAAAAGAAACTTAAAACATGTTTAAAATTGTGCTTTTGTAGAAAAATACGGATTTTCCAGTTGGAACTCCGCCACTCTATCGGATAACGAATAAAAAATTCATCTCAATTGAGATAGGGGCGGCTGGGTGGGGCTTAATATTATTGGCGTCTTTTTCTTAATATGTATCTATTTTCAACAACACCAAATACTATTTGTTATGTATTTTTAAAATTAAATTATATTTTATCGTACATGTGAAAAATTCAAAACTGCGAGAAATCGAGGAGTCGAAAAGTCGAGAAATCGAAAAATCGAAAAATTGGGTAACCAAAATAGGCCAAAATCCAAAAGTTAAAAGTGGAAAAATTGATTAATCGAGAGACTAAACAATCAAAACATCTAAATATCCGAATCTCGGTAAATCGAGATCTCAAAAAATTGAAAAATCGAAAATTTGAAACATGGGAAAATTCAAATATTGAAAAATCCAAACATGAAAAAAATCAAAAAATAAATAAGATTTGAAAATCTAAGAATTTGAATAATCGGATAATTGAACAATCGAAACATCGAAAAATTGGAAAATCAAAAAAAAAAGAACTGAAAACTCGAGAAATCCAAAAACCGAAAATTTTAACTGGAGAGTTAAAATATCGAAAAATTGAAAAATTGAGAATTCGAAGTATGAAAACAGCCGAAAAATTAAAAAATCTAAAATTGAAAAAGCGAAAAATTGAAAATCCAAAAAGTAAAAGTCGAGAAATCGAAAAATTCGAAAAATCTATAATTGAATATTGAAAAATTAAAATATCGTAAAATTGAAAAATGGATAAATCTAAACGTCAAAAAATCTAAATAAATCTAAATTCGAAAATCAAAAGCCTAATATAGAAAAAAATAGGAGATAAATTGAAGAATCGAAAAACTAAAAAAAACCACAAAATTTAAAGAAATATCCAAAATGGAAAAATCAAAAAATTGATTAATTGAGAAATCAGAAAACTAAAAATTTAGAAACGTTAAAATTTGGAAAATTAAAAAATATTGAAGAACTGAAAAATCGAAAAATCTATAATTGAATATTGAAAACTCAAAATTTCGTAAAATTGAAAAATGGATAAATCTAAACACCAAAAAATCAAAATAAATCTAAATTAAAAAATCTAAAATTTAAAAATCGAAAAATTGAAAAATCAACACGTCTAGAAATCGAAACTCTAAAATTAAAAAAAATTGGAAAATTGGAAAATCGGGTAATTCAAAAATCGAAACATCAAAAGTCGAAAAGCCGAAATATAAAAAATCGAAAAATCCAAATATTGAAAAATTCAAAAACTGAGACATCGAAAAATCGGAAAACCTAAAATTTTAAAATCGAAAAGTCAAAACAGCAAAGTCGAAAAATCGCAAACCTTAAAAATCGAAAAATTGATTTAAACCAAAAACCTGAAAAATCGAAAAACTGAAGAACTGGAAGATCGATGCTTTGGGCAGTCGAGAAATGGGAAAATCAAAAAATAGATTAATTGAGAAATCGGAAAACTGAAAATTTAGAAACGTTAAAATTTGGAAAATTAAAAAATATTGAAGAACTGAAAAATCGAAAAATCGAAAAATCTATAATTGAAGCCGAAATACAAAAAATCTGAAAATCCAAATATTGAAAAATTCAAAAACTGAGACATCGAAAAATCGGAAAACCTAAAATTTTAAAATTGAATAGTTAAAACATCGAGAAAACTGAGAAATCGAATATAAAGCAGTCAAAAAATTGAAAAACCCAAAATTTAAAAAACGAAAATTGAAAAACCCGAATTTAAAAAAACTAAAAATTTAAAATCCAAAAAGTAAACAGTCGAAAAATCGAAGAAGCATCCAGAATTAGAAAAATCGAAAATTCCAGAACTAGAAAAATCGAGAAGTCTAAATATTAAAATTTCCCAAAACTGAAATATCGAAAAATTTAAAAATAGAAGAAAAATTGAAGAATCGAAAAACTGAAAAACCACAAAATTGAAGAACTGAGAAACTGAAAAATCGAAACATTGGGAAGTTGAGAAATGGGAAAATCAAAAATAGATTAATTGAAAAATCAGAAAACTAAAAATTTAGAAATATAAAAATATTGAAGAACTGAAAAATCGAAAAATCTATAATTGAATATTGAAAACTCAAAATTTCGTAAAATTGAAAAATGGATAAATCTAAACACCAAAAAATCAAAGAAATCTAAATTAAACAATCTAAAATTTAAAAATCGAAAAATTGAAAAATCAACACGTCAAGAAATCGAACCTCTAAAATTAAAAAAATTGAAAAATTGGAAAATCGGATAATTCAAAAATCGAAACATCAAAAGTCGAAAAGCCGAAATATAAAAAATCGAATAAACCAAATATTGAAAAATTCAAAAACTGAGACATCGAAAAATCGAAAAATCTAAAATTTTAAAATTGAAAAATTAAAACATCAAAAAAACCGAGAAATCGAATTATAAACATTCGAAAAATTGAAAAACCCAAAATTTAAAAAACGTAAATTGAAAAACCCGGAGCTTAAAAAAACGAAAAATTTAAAATCCAAATATGTAGTAAACAGTCGGAAAATCGAAGAAAAATCCAGAATTAGAAAAATCGAAAATTATAGAACTAGAAAAATCGAAAAGTCTAAATATTAAAATTTCCCAAAATTGAAATATCGAAAAATTTAAAAATAGAATAAAACTTGAAGAATCGAAAAACTGAAACACCACAAAATTGAAGAACTGAGAAACTGAAAAAACGAAACATATTTTAACGTACGTTTGAAAAATTCACAAACTGCGAGAAATCGAGGACTCGAAAATTCGAGAAATCAAAAAATCGAAAAATTGGGAAACCAAAATAAGCCAAAATCGAAAAGTTAAAAGTGGAAAAATTGATAAATCGAGAGACTAAACAGTTAAAAGATCTAAATATCCGAATCTCGGTAAATCGAGATCTCAAAAAATTGAAAAATCGAAAATTTAAAACATGGGAAAATTCAAATATTGAAAAATCCAAACATGAAAAAAACCAAAAAACAAATATTTGAAAATCTAAAATTTAATAATCGAGAAGTTGAATAATCGCATAATTGAAAAATCGAAATATCGAAAAATTGGAAAATAAAAAAAAAAGAACTAAAAACCGAAAATTTTAATAACTGGAGAGTTAAAATATCGAAAAGTTGAAAAATTGAGTATTCGAAGTATAAAAACAACCGAAAAAATGAGAAATCTAAAATTTAAAAAGCGAAAAATTGAAAATTCAAAAACTAAAAGTCGAGAAATCGAAAAATTCAGAACTCGAAAAATCTAAAAGTCGAAATACTAACAAATCCCAAAAGCGAAATATAGAAAAAAATAGGAGATGAATTGAAGAACCGAAAAACTAAAAAAATCACAAAATTGAACGAAGTATGCAAAATGGGAAAATAAAAAATTGAGGAATTGAGAAATCGAAAAGTCAAAACGGCAAAATCGAAAAATCGCAAATCTAAAAAATCGAAAAATTGATTAAACCAAAAACCTGAAAAATCGAAAAACTGAAGAACTGGAAGATCTAGACTTTGGGCAGCCGAGAAATGGGAAAATCAAAAAATAGATTAATTGAGAAATCGG